AGAGAGGGAGAGAGGGAGAGAGGGAGAGAGGGAGAGAGGGAGAGAGGGAGAGAACTTACTTGGTTGTGTGGTGCTGAAGATGCAGCCTCACACTAGCGACATTCCAGCCTGAGAAGCTGTCGTTAGTTTGCAGGATCTTTGCACACATGGGCCCAGTGATGCCCTTTTCTTCTTTCAGCTATTCCTAGAATATTTCTAGAACCTCATCAGATCACTGTGGCCTGCAAGAATCCTGTATTTCACTGGGCAGTGGTGGCACACGCCTTTAATCCCAGCACTTGGGAGGCAGAGGCAGGCGGATTTCTGAGTTCGAGGCCAGCCTGGTCTACAGAGTGAGTTCAAGGATAGCCCAGGCTATAAAGAGAAACCCTGTCTCAAAAAAACAAAAACAAAAACAAAAAATCCTGTATTTCTGTGACAGTGTGTTCCTCTGGTTTTAGGGATTGTTAGGGTCTGACTCTGTCCTCCCAAATTCATAGGTTGAGACCCTGTTTTAGTTAGGGTTACTGTCGATCCCATGAACTACTACCATATCTGAAAACAACATGAGAAGACAAGGTTAATTGGCTTACATATCCTGAGTCATAGACTTTTGAGGGAAGTCATGTCGCGAGGAACTCAAACCGGGAGGGGACCTGGAGGCAGGAGCTGATGCTGAGCCCATGGAGGAGTGCTGCTTACTGGCCTGCTCCATAAGGGTTGTTCAGCCTGTTTGTTTGTTTGTTTGTTTGTTTGTTTTTCATAGATTGAGGACCATCAGCCCAGGGATGGCCCCACCCACAATGGGCTGGGCTCTCCCACATCAATTACTGATGGTGAGAATGCTCTACAGGCTTGTCTACTGCCCAGTCTTATGGAGGCATGTTTTTCAATCGAGACTCCCTCCTATCCAAGACATTTGTATCAAGCTGACATCAAACTAGGCTGCACAGACCTGAAGGGTCAGGGTGGTTGGTAGTATTAGGAGGTGGGGACTCGGGGAGGTGGGTAAGCACGAGGGTGAACTCTCATGAATGGGATTAGTATTCTATGAAAGGAACGAGAGAGTTCCCTGCCCCCTTCCACCAGACGAATCGGCACAAACTGTGTAGCCTGGAGAAGGACTCTCATCAGACCCCAGAGCTGCTGGCTTTGATCATGAAATCTCAGCCTCCAGAATGCTGAGAGAAATAGAGCTCTCCGACATCAGTTACCGATTGTAAAAATGCTCTACAGACCATCAGTCTCCGGGCATCTGTTAGAGCGGCCTAACGCAGTATGATGTCACACCTGAGAAACTGTTCTTTGAATTTTGACTTTACCTTGCTCCGGATTAACCTGTCAACTTGAAGTGTATGGTCCCATGTGATTCACTCCTGCCCACAGAGAACATGATGGGACATGGATGGACTATGGGATGTGGAGCCCAAGGTTGGCCCTTTCGCACTAGATAACATGGGCACCTTCCTCTTGGCAGCAGGGCCCTTGCCAGAGGCCTCAGTCTCTATGTTAGTGCTTCACAGCCTTGTGGAAAAGCACTTGTTGATAAAAGCTCCCCACACATTCCAGCGACCACTTAACTTTTGCTGCCTAGGTTTGCAGGACTGGCCCAGCAGCTGGTGGTAGCAACTGGTGGTTGAAATCTCCAACCAAAATTTGCTCCCTGAGAAATATTTCAGTCATTCTAGACTTTGTTACCACTGGTAGAATTCGGGAAGTGTTTACAGCTTCAAGTGGTAGGTCTAGGAAGAAATGTTATTTTTTTAATTAAAAAAAGAAATCTTTGGAAACAGATTCTCTTTATGTAGCACTCCCCTGGAACTCATTATACAGACCAGGCTGGTATTGAACTCACAGAGATCTGCTGAAGATGTTTTTAGATTTTTATTTTATTTTATTTTATTTTATGTGTATAAGTGTTTTGCCTGCGTGCAAGTATATATACCACATTGGTGTCTGGTGTCTACAGAGGTCAGAAGAGGGCATTGAATTCCATGGAATTACAGATGGTTGCAAGGCACCCAGGTGTGTGCTGGGAGCAGAACCCAGGTCTTCTGCAAGAGCAGCCAGTGCTCTTAACCACTGAGCCATCTTTCTAGTCCCTGAAGGTGTATTTTTTAAAATGCTATCTTACTGTCCAGAAATTAGTTTAGTTCCATCCATAGCTGTGTGAAGCTTAACTAGATCACCAGGAAGTGAGCCAGGAAGGCCTCAGAGCTGGTGGTACAATATGAATTAGATAGACGTGCACCTGCACACATGCACAGATATTTAGCAATTGCTGTGGCTCAGCTTATTGTAGATGCGCATACGTGTGTATTTCAAATCATATTTTTACACATATGTGTATTTCAAATCGTAATTTTTTTTTTGTACAAGAGGTTGTTAGACCATGACTGGAAGCTGATTAATGCTTGCTGGGCACACCGTTCTCACATCTCTAGTCTGTAGCATATCAAAGCAGAGAGCTGTGCACACAGTGGGGAGGGGGAGGTGAGTCAGTAAGCAGGGAGGAGGTATGTGACTGGATCAAGGAGCCCTGCGTGACAGTGCAGCCCAGGCCTTCACTCTTACAGACAGAGAAGCTAAGTCCCAGGGAGTCAGCTGGCAGAGATCCCAAGGTGGGGCTGCTCTGGATCCCAGCCCTCTTGACATCATTGACAGTTACTCTGTGAGTGTGTAATAGCATATTTGCTCACCAACGTCAGAGCCGATGAGGGTATTAGTGAAAATGTCATCCAGAAACTATTTATGTTCAGAAAACTTAGGGAAGTGTCAGTATTCTTTGAAAAAAATGTCATGCTACCATCTGTGTGGGTGGATGCCTGCTTTTGGAAACTTCTCTCTTGGTCCTTCATTTTCTCTGGTGATGCCTAATGAACGAACGTGGGTGTGTCTCTGCCTTAGAAAGGGGTGAGCAAGTCCTCAGAGAGGATGGCACGAACCTCAGCAGTGGTATGGCTCTGATGGTACCCATGTCACAAAACAGTAAGACAGGGAGCAAAGTTGTTCCCTGACACTTAACATCTTTCTTAAGAATATTTTCTTATTTATATTGATTAGACCAGCAGTATTCATTTGGGATGGAACCAGAAAACGGGGCCCATTGGATGGCTCAGCTGCAGAAGGCAGCTGCTGGTTGCTTCGGCTACTGTGACCACAATCTCCTTGCTCTCCGCCTTTATCAACTCTTAATATAGCATGTTGGAAAGACCATGGCGTGTCAGAGGAAGCTGAGTCTTTTATGACTGTGTGTGCTGCCAAAACTCCAGGCTGTGTTTCTTCTCTAACTTCTTAATATTTAGAAAGTTGATCATGTCCATAATTTAGGAGTCTCCAAGTTGTAATCTACCCAAACTCTCTAGCAGCCTGGCCATTCCTCCCCCTCTGAGTTGGCCCCCATTTTTTTCTTCTTCTATGATCTCTCTGATGCTGTGTGTAGCCATGGGACACTAATATCTGCCCCAGAGGAATTGGAATGGTGGATGGGACCCATAGAGAATAGTAATGCATGGGCATGCATATGGGCTGTCCACTGGTATTTAGAATGTAGTTTTATAAAATCCCCTGGGCCCACCCACTCTCACTCATGCACATGCCAAGGGCCGTGATTGGTGGCCGAACATTCAGAAGCCTCAGAATAATCCTTTGGCTTAAAGCCAAGGCCTTGTTTGTCCACCTGGTCTTGTGATCTGCCTCTTGTCCGTTTCTCCCTGCCACAGTCCCTCCTTCGTCTACGCTCTAATTACAGTGACCTTCTGCTGTTCTGCAGAATGTCAAGCTCCTTCCTAACCATGGCTTTTGAATATAGCAATGACTGCCTGCACTGGTAGCCATTTGCTGTTCTCTTACTTCTCCACCTGTGGTGCTCAGCCTGCTGTGGTGATGGAGAGGGTGACTGAGGTCAGGCTTGAGTTACTCAATCTGTCTGTGCCTTTGTTTCTAAGTGGTGATAAAAAAAAAAAAAGAAAACCAGCACCCCCAAGGGGTTACTTGACTCCTGTTTTTGGTGGCATCTATAAATGCTAACCTCCTCCTACAGGTTTCTGTCTAACTTGTTGGTAGCCAGGGATAGAGTGCGTTCGCTCCCCACCCCCACCCCCACCAGCACCATCTACAGCCCATCTATAAGAAGCACAGACATCTCCTTCCTGCTACAGAAAGGGAGCGTGAGCCTGGCCCGGAGCCAGATGTTAAGACATATTTGCACCTTCTGGGAACTTTCTGAGTTACTTGACTTTTTTTTTTTCCATTTGTTTTCCTCTGTAGCATCCCTGGAGCTGATGATGTCATCCAGCCAGCTGCTCCTACAGACCTGGGACACCCACCCTTAGCTGACTCTTCCCATCATGGTGATACTGTCAGCTCAGTCTCCACACATCTGACAGTCCAGAGGTACAGTAGAAACATGACTGGGTCTGGCTGAGCCCAGGCCTTGTGGCTGTTCCTCTTCTTCCCTTGTCTCATACACCCACTCACCTCTCGAAGTGTCTGTATACTTGTTCTAAGCACAGCAGGTATGTGCCAGGACTTAGCCTCTTCCTGTGGCATTAGTTATCTACTGATAGGACACTGGAAGCCTACCAGAGAGAGTGCCCATGCAGTTTTGGGACCTGCTGGCTGCCTAGGACACCAGCTGGGCCAGCTTCTTGTTTTCTTTTGTCTTTGAGTGACGATCAGCGAACAGAGGAGTCAGCAGAGTGGGGGTGGGGCACGGATGGACAAGGAGCGAACCAGTTCTCAGCCCTGTCTTCTGTCCTGTCGTCTCCTGCAATCCTTTCTTCTTGACCTTCATACCACAGGTCTTTGCCGCCCAGTACTTGGCCTGAAATCAGCTTCACTTACCTTTCGCCTGTGGCATTTGCGCTGAGACCAGACTTGGTCTGCAAGTCTGGTCTCAGTGCCTTTGAAACTTGGTGAACACGCATGCACATGCACACGCGTGCACACACACACACACACACACACACCTCTTTATATAAGTAATTACACAGTGCACATTCATATTAACACGTGCCTCTCCACAGTAATTACATTTCTTGTTGCTTTGACAAATACCTGACAAAAGCAACTCACAGGGCAAAGGACTTATTTTAGCTCGAAGTTCGAAGGTACAGTCCATCACCGCGGGGAAGGTATAGCAAAGGGACCAGAAAACAGCTGGTTACCTAGTGCCCATAGGGGAAGAAGAAATAGAAGTCTGGAGCTCTGCTACTTTCTCTACTGGGGCAGGACCACCCACAGTTAGGGTGGGTCCTCCCTCCCTCTTCCAGACCTGCCCAGAGGCTTGTCTCCTAGGTGGTTCTAGATCCTGTCAAGTGGATAACATTAACTGTCATAGTCTCTGTCTGTACATAGCTTAATTTATATTTAGAAAAGCAGTTGTGTTTTGCCAGATTTTGCATAGCACTGGGGAAACTTAGGTGACCAGGACAGAAAGGGCACTCTGCATCCTGGAGCTTGTACCTGGGGTCCCTTCCTCTAAGGAGTCTTCCTCTAAACTCAGCCGCTGCCTCTCACTGTGTCACGGCCCTTTCCAGAAGTCTGTAAGTTCTCTGTGCCAAAGTCCGTCTCCCCAACTACAAAGGAAGAACTTGTCTTCATGGCTCTTGTAGCATCCAACATGGAGTGGAGATAGGGGGATGTTATGGCTTATCAAAGATTGGAGGAGAGGACAAGGAAACCCTTTGTCTACTTACCTGTGTCATATGTGTACTGACCCCTCCCTGGCTGCATATCTCAGGTTACTGTTGATAGGCAGGTATCAGGCAGCAGAGGGGAAACCCTTTCACTGGGGAATCTAATTGGTGCAGGAAAACTAGGAGGGGGAGAGAAACAGAACCAGAGATGTCCCAGCAGGTGAGCATTGGCCTGGGATTTCAATGTTCCCCTTATGACGAGAGTCAGCTGAGGTGCCCGTGAGGAGCATTGCCGCCCTCCTCCCTGCCTCTCCTGTGCTTCGTTGTCTCAGTGATGCTCCAGATTGCTGACCCTCGGAGATTTAGGAAGGCCCAGGATCTACTAGCTAGAGCCACGAGTAGGGTTACCAACCTTAGTGAAGCAGGAAAGGAGCTTTCTTTACTCTTTTGGATATTACAGCTGGGGCAAGGCAGATATGGAGACCCCTTGATAGGAAGATGAACAAGTGCATGGTTAGACGTCATACAGGAGAACTGAAATCCAGCAGGGTCTGATCTGTCCTTCTGGGACCCCTTCTCTATCCAGGGACCATCCTTTTAAATAGCTTGTCTCGGGCCTCTTTTTGCCTAGGACACAGGAGGATGGCTATGTGTGCCATCTAGAATGGATCTGTGGATCCTCTCAAGAGCCACAGATAATAGAGTAAAGTTCCAACTGCAACTCACAGAGGCACTAACCAAGACTGCAAAATGTTAACAAGCTCAGGCCATATGGCAGCCATGTTGAGACAGGTGTATTCTGCTGCCCAGCCATGCTCCTAACCCCATTCCTGGCAAATGTCACTTGCAACGTTGACTATGAGTGACCACAGGATACAGGAAGGGGTGGGAGTAAGCATGGATGCTCTCGGTGCTGATGACTAGGCCAGCTTCCTGACTTTATCTCTCAGAGGAAGGACAGCTGGAACCTGGGCAGGGAGCAGTCAGGAGGCAGGAGCCAAAGAACAGGGAAACATTCGACTAAAGAAAAGCCAGCAGGAGCATGAACATTTGTGCGGGAGGAAATCATCACTAAGTCGGTGGGAAAGAGGCAGTTCCAATAGGAACAGCCATTGGTTGGTTTCAGTTTGGTCATCCAACATGATAAAATGGTCTTGTCATAAAATACAGGCAACACTCATTATTTAATCAGTGTTTGTGAATTTGACTTTTCTTGGAAGTTTATTGATAACCCCAAAGTCAATACTGGTGGCTCCTCCTCAGCCCTGTATTCAAAGCAATGAAAACTGGGAGTCACCCAACATGAGCGTTCTCAGTTGTTCACGGTTCCGCTCTTGTGGTGTGAACATGTGACCTCTTTTTTCAAAACTTATGTATTATGTACATAGTGTTCTGTCTGCATGCCAGAAGAGAGTGCCAGATCTCATTACAGATGGTTGTGAGCCACCACTGTGTGGTTGCTAGGAACTGAACTTAGGCTCTCAGGAAGAGCCTGTCCACTGTTTGTGTTGAGAAGTGAGCAAATGTCTACTCTCTCGGATAGGGTATCAATGACAGACTGAAGTGAGGAAACACCAAAGTCCAGGTTGGTGAATCACTGAGTTTTATTGAGTTTACATCAGGAGTATGGGTGAGGGGTTACAGGAGTAGAAATGACTCAGAGACAGCTGCATCAGCAAAGCACCCCAGTGTAGGGAAACTGGAAACCTAGAGCATACTGCACAGCTCGATGGGATGGGGTTGCCCAGCATTCTTCTGGGCAGCTCAGCTTGTCTGGGCATCTGTCAGCTGTCCTTGCTGCTTATAGATACTTGAGGAAGTAAGAGTCTAGTGAATCCTGTCAGTTTCAGGGGCTTCTGAAGCTTTTGAATTGTCTACTTCCAGGATGGAATGTGTTTCATCTTCCTTTAGACCAGTGGTTCTCAACTTCCTACTGCTGCGACTCATGTTGTGGTGACCCCTAACTATAAAATCATCTTCATTGGTATTTCATAACTGTAGTTTTGTTACTGTTCTGAATCATAATAGTAAATGTCTGATATACAGGATATCTGACATGTGTTCCCTGTGAAAGGGGTCAGCAGCTCATGTCTAAGATCCCAGCCCTGGGGTCACAGAGTAGGAGATCAGCTTATTTGAATTATATGAGCACACTGTCACTGTCTTCAGACACAGCAGAAGAGGGCAGCAGATCTCATTACAGATGGTTGTGAGCTACCATGTGGTTGCTGGGAATTGAACTCAGGACCTCTGGAAAAGCAGTCAGTGCTCTTAACCACTGAACCATCTCTCCAACCCAGAGGTTGTCTTAAAGATTTTAAAAGGGAGAGAAGAGACAGGCCCTTCCCCTGCCTTCAGGGCACCTGCCTGCTGATGCTCTGGGGTCAAAGCAGAGTTTCTGTGCTCTTCTCAGGAAGGGAACTGTCATGCTCTCTGAGGGATTCCGTAGATGAAAGGAAAGCTACTTCTTCATGTCCTCTCTGCGGACACCATACTTGCTCTCTTTGGTTTTTGTTCTGCTTTGACATGTCTGGTGATCCAGAAACCTGGGCCCAAGTTCTCTAGAAAATTTTACAAATGACTGGATTGCCTACAGTCAGTCATTTGTACTCCTATCTGTTCCGTGTTTTTAACCCCAAAAGGAATAAAAGCCAGAGTGGTTTTCCTAGAGAAGTCTTTCAGCACTGTCACTTCTGAGCGGCGGAGCAGGGTATTAAGGTCACATCAGGAACCACTTGACTCCTGGTTCTTCTCAGACTGGAATCCCAGCAGGTCTCTCCTTGGATCCTGAGGGCTCCCATCAATACCACTGGGAAACTACTCACCTGCCTGCTTTCTGTCAGACTTTATGGTGCACCAGAGCAACTGGTGAGAGTCTGACAGCTGCCTCACCTAAGTTTCTACTTAGAATCTGGATGGTTCCAGTTCCTAAGGGTGTTCCAGCTAGTGTTCTGAGGTACACATGTGGTGCACACTAGGTAGAGGCAATCTTGTCTGGTCACAGGAACTCAGGACTATAGACTCCTGGGCCAGCAGTTGGTGGCTGAAACTACCTATGACTTCTGTCAAAAGAGTCATGACCCTGGGGAGCATTGTGGCACTGGGGGGCATCATGGCCCTGGGGGGAATTGTGGCACTGGTGAGCATCATGGCCTTGTTTTTGAGACTGAGGAAACCCAGGATTCCTGCTCTGTTTTTCCTTTGTTCCCAAATCATGTAAGGGTTTTGTTCTTATCAATTTGTACAATGTAGTTCTTTGTCTTTGAGCAGATTTGGCTGTCTCCCAAAAAGTTAGCTGAATCTTTATTTAATAATCAGGCAGTTAATAACTGGATCGTAAAGTGTTTTTTAATGTATAAAAGGAAGTATCCACCCTGAAGGACAGAATTCCATAAAAGGCTCCTATGCCTTCCAGGGCTGTGCGCGCTGTGCCTCTTGCACTGAGTGAGGGTCCCTTGTTTGTTTATCACCTTTGTGTTCCCAGCTGGTAACCACTAGATCATGAGATCCCATATTGGCAGTTGTCAAATACTGACAATTTTGAATGGCTTATACTAAAACGCGGTGTTGTTCTTGTTTTGGCATTTTAAGATTGGTGAGGTATTTAATCTGTATAGGTACCTTTGGGCTTTGTACACAGATGTCCTTGACTTCTGATACCAGCCTCTTTCTGGTCTCTGTATCTATTTTTTTAAAGATTTATTTATTTTATGTATACAAATGTTCTATCTGCATGTACACCTGCAGATACACCAG